TTGCAGGCTTTGTTTGGGTCAACCAAGATCTTCTTTTGGGGTCTGCGGCTTCCCAAGGTCAACCAACATTTCCCTTCAGGGTTTAGGGTTTGTCAATAGCAGCTTCTTTGCAGGCCTTGGGTCAAGCAAAACTTTGTTTAGGGTTTGGGTTTTCTCAACCATTTTTGTTTAGGGTTTCAGCATCTCCTTTTAGGGTTTGGGGTTTGTCAACAGCAGCTTCTTTGCAGATTTTGGGTTAGGTCAAGCAACATCTTTTTTTAGGGTTTGGGGTTTCCCAACTATTCCTTTTTTGGGGTTCCACCGCGGCCCTGCGGCTTGCCCCGCGGCCTGCGGCCCACGGTCGCCTGCGGCCCGCGGCCCGCGGCCGCCTGCCCGCGGCCACGCCTGTGGACACCGCAAAAATAAACCTCTACCCATTGACTTCGTCGCTGTCATCTTGTCTGCTCCCTCCCCTCGCCTCTCCCCCCCGCGTGACATGGCTGCATCAAACCCCCTCTTGAGCCGTTCGTGGCGGGAGGCCGTGACGTTCGCCTGACCCTAGCAGGTCCCAGAATTCCGTTAGTCCCACTAGAGAAACTTCCGGGTCAACATCGTTGCAACTTGAGGCCGGGCTTAGATGCGGCGGCCCTTCCGCGCGCTCCTTCACCCATCTCAATTATTTGTCCGCCGCCCTGAAGCCTGCAAGTGCTTTTGCTTGGAAGCATTCCACATGCATCGGCCCCTCTCCCTCCTCCCTCCTCCCTCCCCCCTTGCCCCCACCACCACCACCACCACCACCACCACCAGAACCCAGAACCCAGAACCCAGAACCGCGAACCGCCAACCGCGAACCGCGAACCACGACGTCCGACGTCGATCACCAAGGCACTAAGATTGCCGCTATTGTAGCTAAGGCAGGATTTGCCGCTGGCGAGGCGGCACTACATGCAGAGTGCCGCTGCAGACCCAGGCGACAAATCTTGCGAAATGGAGGAGCAGGGCTGATGCTTTCTTTATGGGCTCTGGAGTGTTTAGGAGCTTGTGGGACAAGGTTTCTCCCAAGTCCTGTGCCCCTGACGGCTTTGCGCCATCGAGTTTGTAAGCGGACCACGTAGCGTTCGGGTTCTGGCAGGTGGCACACACACGCCGATCACCATCATGGCTTGCCTCCTGAGCCTGCAGCACTTTCTGGTGACTCCGGCAGCAATCACAGGAAATCCTCAAGAGTGCTTACAAGCTGCCAATCTGTCGGTGGGGACGGCGAGCCCATTTGCATTCTGCGCTGGAACTCGAAGGGCTTTAAGTCTCAGGGCTGTAGCTCTAGAAGTGAACGTCCCGCAAGAGCTTCGCTGCTAAGGTCGACATGCCGAAGCCCGAGGCCGTCAAACCTTCAGCTCCCAATCTATGGGGGAAGTTAAGCGGACTTCAGAATATTCCGTGTGAAGCCCGTGCAGTCTGACATTCTCAGAATGGAGTGTTGCAAACATAGCCTTGTCGCCAGCATGTGCCAAGTTCACTTCAGTCTTCTGCAGAATGGCTGCTCTTCACGGACAGTTTTGACACCTAGCTTCGGGGTGAGCGAACATGTCTGACTAGTGTGATTCATTGTCCGTCCAAGCCGATGTTCAACATGAAGCCCGCACCGAGCACCAGCGAACCAGCAGCTTCTGTGGTTGTGCACTGTGAAGCTTTTTCTGGACCGCTATCCCTAGCACACTTCTCAGTGCCCCGTGTAGTCAGGCCACAACATTGTGTTGCGAGAGGTGCTAGCAGCATCTGTTCTTGGCGATGTTCGCTTCCACATCCTGGTGGCGGCCGGGCTTGATCTTGATTGCACTGCTGCCTTCGGGGTTCCTCTCGACCATGCTCACGCAAGTGAAGTCTTCTACCAATGCGAGGCCGAGCACTTTTTTCTGAGGTGCACATGGTGGCTATCATAGTCCTCTGTGGGTTGCGGTCGCCTCTTGTCATAAACTAGCTGGGCAGCAAGAACAGGAGGATTGCTGCATGTCTGTGCGCCTCTCTTCCTGTGCTTGCCTGCCAATACATACGCAACAAGAGATTTCTTCGCCGCCTCGGCTTTACGCACTTTGTGCGAGACCGCTGTCAGCCTCCTCAGTCCAACCCAGCACACAGGCGCAAGCAAGCAGGATCATGCAGGGCGTCTGGTAAAGGGCTTGTTGGAAGTCTGATCCAGTCGCCAAGCCCACCCCCCAAACAACACATCTGCAGAGACGTATGCCCTTGACGCTTCACCTCGCTGCTTTTTTCGCTGCCCCTCCAATGGAGAATGGCCGGCAGCAGCGTGTGCTGGAGCCACTCGGCTGACCCTAAGAAGCTTGTCACGGAGTGAATCTTGTGGACACAGTTTCAACGTTGTTTCTCGTTGCCTACACCACCTCCACTCAGTAAGCAAGAGTGCTGGCGGCTCATGATAGAGACTTTTTACGGGTATCAGAGAGTTCTCTTCAAAACCGACAGCATGTCCGACGCCGTTCGAAGGAGTTTCTAGAAGTCCTCTTGTCAGAGGAAGATGGCTTGGCTCGGATGCAGTGCACGGTCCCTACCTGCCATACTGCCGAGTTCCACGAAGAAATCACGTAGTGTTGAAAATGAAGAAGTATTCGCAGTGTCTGGTAAAACAAACAACATGAACACGAAGTCGCCAGCTTGGTGCTGTTCAACAAGGAAGAAAGCCAAATTTGAGGGATACCTCCACAGGCGTAGATGTCGTCGCCACAATGCCAAGACGACGGTAGCAACACTGAACTATTACCCTCATTGAATACCTGCACGTTGCTGCTGCACGTCAGAGAATGCAAGAGTAGAAGCTTGATGTCTTCAAGCAGCGCAGGAGACTAGACATGCAGCCTCCTACACCCGCTCAAGAAACTCAGGCTCTTGCGGAAACTCGACGGAGAGCTGCAGGGGGGCTTGAGGCCCGCTTTCCGGCCGTCTGCCGAGCCAGCAAGGATAGCCAGGCTTTGGTGAAGGCGGAGATCTTAAGACGAAGACGGCAACACAAGACTGTCAGACACTTGGTACGCTTCCACGAGCCTGCCGAAACTGTTTTTTTGCCGGTCAGTCTGGTTTGTGCATAGTTTGTTGGATCTAGAAGACCAACTGAAGATTCAGATCCTATTTCCCTTCGTTTCCATTGACACGGTAACAAACCGACAAGCCCCCATGCAGCACAGGCCCCGGCACCTGGCAGAAGTGCTCACGAGCCTCGGCTTTGAGCCCGGCGCCGCACCTCGGCAGAAGTGCGGAGATGTGCGGAGCGCAGCCCCCGAGCCGTCCTTGCTCAGAGGCAGAGAGAGTGGTCAGCCTGTTTCGCGAAGCGCCTCTTGGCAAGCACCTCCATGTCCGTCTGTGTCTCTTGAAGTGTCAAGGATCGCGTTTGAACTTCGACTGCAGAAGCTTCTCTACTCGTAGGTAGGTCGTACTCGGAACCAGCCCCTCATCTGGTGTTTGTTCCGGTTGAGTCTCAGGACGGGCATCCCTGAAGACGAGCCGCAGGAGCGCCTCCATGTGACCTGCCGAAGCCGAGTTCTTTTCGGGCTTGAGATGATGGCACCGTTCAGAAGTCCTCAGATCCGTCGGAGTGTTTCGTTTTCTCATGGCCGTGCCCGTGCATGCCTTGATCATCGGGTGATACGGCGAGGTAGCATTCATCGAGTGGTTGTGTGACATCCACGACGAGGCAAAAGGTGCCCCGGCATTCCGAGAAGGGCTGAACACAGCCGCTGTCCCCACGTGTCTGAGGTGGTTCCTGCGGGAGCGAGAGTGTAACGGAAGCGCCAGCGCACGAGGCGGCCGAGGAGGCGGAGGGGGGGACGCCAGCGGGGGCTTAGCCTCAGCTCTCATGCATCGCCAGGACGACGAGCTGCCCTTGCCGCTGGACCTCAACGCAGATCTGCGGACGGGCGACGAGCGACAGCGTCAGGTCTCTGCGGGGTCTGAGGCCTGCAGGTTGCAGCAGAATCCAAACTTTGTCTAGCCCAAAGGCACATCTACGAAATCTGTTGTGTTGAAATTCAAGATGAAGAGCTTTTTCCACTTGGCAGAGGCAGTGTGTAGTTGCAGTCCACTTGTGCACTTGTGCTCAGCCTTGCCCTTAGCCACAGATGACCGCCAGCGTGACCGCCAGCTTCGGCGTTGGCTCCGAGGCAGAAAGCCACTTGGACTCACCACGGCACTGAAAGTGCAGGGGTGTTCAGGTCATGTTTTAGTTTTTAGGATACTTCTGGCAATAATCGGCTGAGATTTCGCGCCTTTGCATTCCAGCTCGCCGATTCACCGAAGTGTGGAGCCCGAGCTGCAACGCTGTGAAATGAGCTCAGGCGCTTTCTCCATGGACAAGAGACCAGGCCCGTTGCACTGTTTTGCATCTTCTGAGCATGACCCTCTATGCCTTTTTACGCTTGCACATACCGTGCACAGTACACGGGCTGGCACGCCTTTGACAGCACGCTGGGATATTTTCCAAGCTCATCCATGGTGTTTTCCCTCATAAGAGATGCAACTCAGTAGGCCCGTTCTGCACCTGAAGAGTCGCAGGTCATCCAAAGCTCTACACGAGGAGACCGTCCATGATGAACAAGCGCTCTTGACTGCAGCAATTACATGAAGCCGTCTGTTGGCATTGCAACTTGTAAATTTTACGGTAGATGAAGGGGTTCCCCTTGCGGAGATAGTCATGTCGACCACGGCACATCGTGTCAGGCTCAAAGCGAGTAGAGAAGCATGTGGAGGACATTTGTGAAGATTGAACGTCTTGGTGTTTCTCGGACACAGCGGTTTCAAAGATGCGGGTACTTAAAGTGGAACGTGGAATTGTTTGCGGAGAAGGCCTTTTCGATTTTCGCATCCAAAATCTGGGTGACTGTGGTCAAGCCAGGTGAAGCCTTTGTAATGCGTTCCAGATAAGCGTGACCGAGGTTGTTGAACATTGTGAGCATTGCAGAGTTGACAGAAGCTCCGCGTTATCGAAATCCGAGCGAGGCCAAAGCCCACCCTCAAGGGCATCGGGCGCCGGCTGAGTGTTGTGTCCTGACTTGCCATGGCCAGGGGGTGCTTTCAGGGGTCAGGGTCAGGGATATGGAGCACGAGCCAAGGAGATCTCCGAGCGCATCTTGGAAGGTCAGGGCGGGGCAGGGCATCTCTCGACTGCGCGTTGCCTTGCTGCCTTGGCCCTCGCAGAACTCGACGAGTCGACCCCTTGGGCCAGCTCCTTGAAGCCGGACTTCATGACCGACATCAAGGAAGAGGAGCCCGGATCGAGCATCTCAGCAAGGATTCTCCAAGATTTCTTGATTTAAGAAACGTCGTGGGCGTGATCGACATGATGTAAGGTTATGATGAAATTTACGGGGTGGGATTGATTCAGTGGTAGCGTAGCGGCACACGACTCCTGCCACTCTTGGCCTTGCAGTGCTGGCCTCGAGTTCCTCCTCCACCGGACTTGGGCTTCACAGCTGATCAGTCGTCCAAGTGATCGCTGTTGCACCATGAAGCCCAGGGACGATCTTAATCTTCGATTGGGACGACACGCTGCTTCCAACCACGGTCACGGCCCTGTCGTCCCAGAGGCTACCTCTTATCAGGTTGCATCTCGTTCGTGAGGCTTGCACCGCCGACATGCGTGCCGAGCCCACTGACGAGCAGCGGCCCGCCAGCGCCTCAGCAGGGGAGCCCTCGGCGACTCGGAGCCCCGCGACTCCGTGTCGACGAAGGCCATGGAGGCCCACGCGAAGCTTGTCAGCGACACTCTTCGCCTCGCCTCCTCCATTGGCCGCGTGGGCATCGCCTCTTGGCCCGCCGTGGCAAAGCTGCATAGACGTGGCATATCATGGCATGGTGTCTCTTTCAAAGGTGACCCTGGCTGCGTCGCTTGGTGGCAGTAGCAGACTGCTCTGTTCTTTGCGGCATTTTGGGCGGCTTTGTGTTTCAGGCGGCCCTGGCTCCAGGTCTCGGCGAAGAGATACATGCCCGGCACGGAGCCAAGT